ATAATATAGTACACCTAAATTTAAGTACAGTACAATACTTTTAAAAACAAAATACAGTACGAAACTTCTGCACCCCGTTGTTGTATCATATAAGCATGTAATATTTTTGCTATTATACAGATTGAATCAATGGATATCTGTGCATACAGGACAAGTTTTCTTATATGTATAAGGTAGATCCACCAAATATCTGTATTATATTACGGATATGTTCTAACTCACGAAATCTTACCATTATGCTGCCATTATGTTGATATACTGCAGGCATGATTGACTGATGCTTGCATGTAGCCAATACCAATATCAGAACCATTTCCATATGTCTCCCCTGAAGCATATATGCTGCATATGTTTATATTACATAAAAAGTAATACAGTACGCATTAGTATGATTAGTTTTATTGAATTTTTAGATAACCCTTTTCCGCCAGTAACATTACAGATAATATTTAGACGGCATCAACAGTATTTATAACTTCATTTCACGCTGGCTGCTATTTATTAGATTTAATTCTTGATCGCCAGGGAGCCAGTGAAAAAATAAGGTAAACTTTGGGATATGTACGCACGACGTAGGAGATTATGCATAAATAAATTAGTAGCAATTTTCCTTATCGAACTCAATAAGCGAAAGTCTCAATCTCTTTGCATAAAACCCATAAACAAAGTACAATGAGCATGCTACTGAGAATAACAAATTTAGTTTATCTTCAATGACTTAAAGTCATCAAAGTTTTTAGATACCCTGCACCGTACGTACGCACGTACTATGTGAATTTTGCCTTTTCTGGAATGATAAATCGATTTATCTTTCGGGAAACTTCCAGATTCCAAAAAGTCAAAATTTTACATAGTAAACATATCCCAAAGTTTACTTTGGTGGATCACAAATTAATTAATGCAATTAACCTTGATTAATTAGTTGCATAGATATGTTAATCTTGATTAATTAGTTGCATCTATATATATTTACCTTGATTAATTAGTTGCATAGATATATTAACCTTGATTAATTAGTTGAATCTAGATATATATAATACTACTAGTGGTGAGAATCACAACTTTTGGTGCTGCGCACGATAAATAAAGATAAATAAAGATAAATATGATCACTTAATGGTACCGTACATAAAATTTAGGATTCTTCTAGTAATTTACTCCATATATAATTCAATAGATGTAACGTGTAATTCTTCTTGTAAAAACTATTTGACGAAGTTTGAAGTAACTGCTAACGGCGACATTAATTTTTACTATTCAAAGGATTGTGTCTGTGAAAATTAGTAACGAAAGTAAATCCTTTTTTACATTTTGTGCATAGACAATATGTACTCATAATCGAATTTAAATATATTTATATTAATATTTTACATATTAATTATACAATATAGCATTAAAATTTAGTTTTAGATATTTTAAATATATTTTACTTTTTCATAAATAATTATTCGTCTCTAAAATGTACAAGGTACTTAATTAAATTTTGGAAATTTAAAATTTGTCTTATTAATTTGTAACAAATTTCAGAAATAAAATTAAATTTAATATAGTTAATCGATTTAGTATGACTTAAATATTTATTGTGAATAAATTTAAATAATAAATTGATAAGCTTGGTTCAATAAATTCATATGAACAAAATTCTTTAATTCAGTAATTTGGTGATTATTAAAAATTAAACGATACATAATTCATAGAAGTTAATCTAACCATTTAAGTTATGTGATATCGCATAGCCAGGATTAAAATATAAAAATATAATAAAATTTGAATTGTATGAACGTATTTAATTGGTAGATTCGTTATATGAAACTGTTATGAAATCACTTAAGATTTTAGTCTTTAACTAGCAATTGTACCGAAAAATTCGCCAATTGAAATGTAGAATAAATCGTTAGAAAAGAAGAATGATATATTAGATCGAATAAAACTTTTATTATGTTATACTGACGAGTGTAATTCATTGGTGCTTTTTTTTAGATTACATCGAATAAGCTTGTGTTTTCTGAGAATATCATGAGCCTAATTGTCGTGGGGTTAATGAATGCAATGAGTTTTACACTCAAACTGCCCGACGGTTTTGTTGTTAATTATATACACTCGCTTTACACTTGTTACGTTCGTTAACTTGCAATTCACCCAGTCAACACCTTACAAACGTCCCTCGTAACCAACTCTCTCTCTAGGTGGCACGGCACAGTTTATTAAGAACTGGTTATTTACAAGAAAATTCAATAATGTGTTCGATCGTAAAGATCGAACCTTTATTGATTTATCATGTACTATTGCATCATCTATACAATAGCGCCATTGTTACATTGTTTAGTCTAATATATTAAACTTTATATTGCACTACGTAATCTATACGTTATGACGATCATCACTAACTTATTATACCCTTGGATCACTTAACCCCGGTACTTCGTACCACGTGCAACCAATCATTACCCGTCACTAATACATAATACTGCACTTAGAAAATGTGTACCAGGTTGGGATCGGATGATCGTCCGGGAAAGTTAGATCGGAACAGTATAGAAACAAATTTACGTATTTACATACGTACGTCATCTAGCTAATCACTTATTGGTTTATCAATATTTAAATTATAATACTCAATAATGTTTTTTGTTTTTTGTTTTTTTTTTCTTGCAAAAAATAAAAGTGATGCATATTTGTTATAAGCATATATTTTATATTGTAAGCTTTATTTCGTTAATTACATGCAAGAAACCATCAAATTAGGACTTAGCTAAACAAAATAATAGAATACATATATCAAATCTACCTATGCCACTTCGCCAAATACTTTCGTCGCTTATGAGTCACAAGTTGAAGCTATAATAGCCAAATGTGTAAATAAGCAATGTTCGATCGTCTAAAAGTGATATTAATATTAGGTTGGTATTTTAAATTTTAATTAATAACAATTCAGAATTTATTTAAAATATGTAGCAACGAAGATTTAATAAGCATATTATATTCATTGAAAAGTTTTCAACTTATCATTAGTAACGTTAACAATAATAGCCAACTTCTTTCCGACATTAAATATTTCAAGAAAGATACAAAAATCAGAATCTCTATCGATAGATAAGTTAGAGTCTTACCTATTCATCAAATTTCAAACAGTCAACGAATATTCAGAAAACAAATATCGATCAATTTGAAATGAAGGGCATAAAGAATGATCAATTGTAAAGAGTACATAAATTATCGAAGAACGTCACAAAAAACAAACCAAATGGTTAAAAAGAAATAACCATTATAATGTCGAAATTCAAGTTTATTTGTATTATTCTATTCATTAGATATGTGTTGTATATTGCTTTATATTATCGATATAATTGAAAAATAAAGTCTTAGTAAAAAGAAAAAAAAAGTAAAAATTCGAAGACATTTTCCGAACCATCATCCGAACCCAACCTGGTACACATTTTCTGGGTGCAATACCCGATTAACTTAGAACTTGATCGAAGATCTATATATATATATATATATATATATATATATATATATAATAATGATTTATATATATATATACAATATATAATTATACGTATAATATTTCACATATATATATATATATATATATATATATATATAGTTGGATAAACTAATCGGGTATTCGGGTATTCGCAAAAAAAAATTTTTTTTTTGAAAATATTATTATTCTCAACCATTTCGAAAACAGCGATAATTGAATACATATTCTATTACAATAGGTTAACAAAGAAATCCTCAGGCGTAAATTTATCCTCTGACAAAATTTACAGGCAATTCCTTATTGTGTTAACGGGTTAAAACGTTGAAAATAGATCGATTTTAATAAACATGATAAATATGTGAGTGATGCCAAGAAAAATTCGAATGTCTGGTTTTTTCTTGACGTCACTCATGTTTAAAGCGATCCAGCTTTAATTTTATTCGTGTAACAGAAAAATCTGTAATGGATTAGACAAAGAATCTGATTGGCTACTTTTATCAAACTGACCAATCAGATTCTTTGTTGAGTCCAATAAATTTTGTCAAATATATTTGACCTTGAGTTTTTTGCGATTTCTTGTCTTACTTCGGATTCTCGTAATCGGATTGGGTAGCATTCACGGGACCACCAAGTTTTTGCGCCATGACTATTTCACTCCTTGGGTAAATGTTAAAAATTATATAGTCGCTAGAAACTGCTAAAACCGTTATACGACTGTTAAAACCGTTAAAAATCACATGCCATTATGCAATCGTTAAAACCTTTAAAGCGGTTTGTTAAATTACATATCAGCTATGCAGCTATTAAAACGGTTAAAAGAGTTTATTAAATTACATAGCCCGTTAGAAACTGTTACGTAAAATATGATTTATTAAATAATCTAACCATTATATAACCGTTCGTTAGAAAGTATTAGCATGTATTTAAGTGTGAAATTTATGAAAATTCAGTTTATAAAAATTCAATTTCACGTGTTTTATCGTTAACTTTACTAAATATGAGATTCAGCTTCATCGTGACATTTCAATATAGTATTTGGCTAGCTAGCGGATATGTCAGATTTGGAAGAACCGACCCGAGCCTCCTCGGAGACGATCCGATTTGAACAACACATCGGACTTTCAATTATCGTTATGATAAACTAACCTCTGATATCCTTAAAAACGAATGTTCCCTTTTCCTCATTTTTATAACGCTATTTTCTTTCTAAAGGTATTTGATATTCTAAGCCAATTTTAACAATTTGGCAAGTTTCAATCATTATATATATATAGTGATGTGGCTTTATTTGGAATTGTCTGTATATTATACCGTTATACGTATACGTATCAAGTGTTGAATTTAATTGGCTTAGTTCTGTAAAACTCTCTGCATTGTCATAAATGTTAATCGTTATTAAAATATTTATACTTTTATATAATATATCGTGACACACAATGTAGTATAAAAAGTGTAAATATTGTCCTACGTACTTTTTTCTCTTTCAAATTTTGTAAAAATGCCTTCCGTAAACTCAAAAGATTTTGCTACTATACAACAACTTTTAGAACATGATAATCATAAGAATCGTAAAGCGATGCTGGATTTTATGGCTAAAGATCCTATTTATATTCCACGTTACAATGTTTCTCTTGAGTTTGAACGAGAAATTGCTTTGCAAAGATTAAAAAGGCTTGCTGATCGAGGGTTTATTTCTGTTTATGATTTCGAAAATAATCCTTTGAATATTTTTGCTGGTATTTAATCTTTTTTTATTTCATATGATGTAATAAATATTATAGCACGGTCACTATTGATCATGAGTATTACACCATTTATGTTATAAATCACTTTCTTTTTATATCGTCATTCATGCTTGTTATTTTGCACCATACGAATTAAAGTTTTAAAAAAAACATAAATAGTATAATTTATGATCAATGACCGCCGTACTATAATACCAATATAACATGATAATTCTGAGATACATCACACTGGTACAGCGATAATTTTTTTTGATTATTCAGAAAATCTGCTTCGCGGCATTCTCTGATCAAAAAAATTATCACTGTAACAACGTGATGTTATCTCATATTATGATACTATATTATATAATTATACAATCTCTTTTTCTAAATATTTAATTATTGTACAGCTCATGAAATTGCCGGTATGGTCGACGGTTCTATGGGAACTAAGGTAAAATATCATTTTTCAATTTTATAAACGTAAGATTAATTTAACATATGAACATATCATATCTTTTTTTCATAAGATGACTGTTCAATGGAATCTTTTTGGAGGAACTGTGATTAAACTTGGAACAGAACGCCATCGTTATCTACTTCCTGGAATTGATAGTTTGCAAAATGTTGGATGCTTTGCTCTTACAGAATTGGGTTATGGTAATAACGCAGTAGAAATGGAGACTACTGCTGTATATGATGAAAGCGCACGAGAATTTATTATTAATACTCCTTCAACATTGGCCCAAAAATATTGGATTACAAATGTAATGTTATTATAATATTTATTTTATAATTTATACACAACTCACTCTCTTAATACTCGAAATTTAATTATATCGAGAATTCATGATAGTAAAACTAAGCTCAAAGCCAAAGTATATATATAAAAATTCTCGATATAGAGAATTTTCTACTAAATTTCTCGATATGATGTAATTTCATAATTTTTCATTAATTGACATGATCACTTCATTATAAAGAGAGTGTGTTGTATATAAAATATATATATATGTTTGTTTAAATTGCGATGACTTGAGTTGTTATGAATTCAATTATTGTTATTTTCACTTATTTTAGTCTGCGGTACATGCTAAGTGGGTCATAGTATTTGCACAAACTATAATTCGTGGTAAAAATGAAGGTGTTCATGCGATTCTAGTCAGAATTAGAGAAGAAGAGTAATTACACATTTTATTCAAATGTTTCTTAGATGTATTTGTCCAAAATTCATGATATTAAATCTTGCATTTATTTTATGAACTTAGTATGAAAATTTCTAAAGGTGTAGTTATTGAGGATATGGGTGTGAAATTTGAATGCAACGGCGTAGATAATGGTAAGCATTATCCTATAAATGTTCACTGTCATCTTCAATGCTGTTTAACTATTTACTAATAATTTATTTTAGGTAAACTATGGTTTAAAAACGTAAGCAGAGGATAAATTAGTTTTTCTTTTGTAGATTTCTCTTTTTATTTATTATGTATTAAATTAACAGGTACGAGTACCGGTTGAAAATTTACTCAATCGTTTTTCTGATATTGATGAAAACAACAATTTTACAAGTGTTGTTAAAAAAACTCGAGAGTTTGTATCTATTTTATTTATCAAAATCATTAGTGATTTAAATTACCCTTTTTTCTAATTGTCACTCATCATTACAGCCGATTTTTAAGAGTTGCCAATCAGTTACTTTCTGGAAGATTGGCTATATCCGCTTTGAATTTGGGTGGAACTAAAAGTACATTAAATTTAAGAATCTTTATATTGAAATTTTTTTTTCATTTAGTTTTATTCTTATTATTTTGTTATTTTTTGAAAGCTTGTCTGTGTATCGCTTTCCGATATGCTAATTCTAGGTTGGCAGTTGGTCCTACTGGAAAAAGGTAAGCTTTATATTAACGAATATATATTATTATGTAAATAATATATTTACTATATCTATAATTTTTTTTGTTTTTAAGTGATACGCCAATTTTATCCTACCAACTTCAACAACGTGCCTTGATTCCACTTCTGGCCACAACCATTGCTTTGAATATTGGATTTAATTACTGTAAAGTTCGATGGGCCGAAGGGGTATGTTAATTATTTGAAACCTTGCATTTATTTTAATCATCATTAACAAATATACTTTGCAATTTTCATGGACAACCAAATGAAAACTATAGACAGAAAAGGATCATAATGAAGTTGTTAGGCTTTGTTGTATGATAAAACCTTTAGTGACATGGAATTTTGAACGAGTGGCTACTACTTGTAGAGAAAGATGCGGTGGACAAGGATATTTGAGTATTAATAGATTTGGTAGCTTCATTGGATTCTCACATGCTGGTATGACAGCTGAGGGAGATAATAGTGTTTTAATGCAAAAAGGTATGAAAAATTTTAGATTTAGTTCATTTATTTTGTAAGATGAAATTTTTATTTTTTTAACGTGATTTATATCAAAACTTAGTTTCTAAGGAATTGTTAGCTGATGTCCAATCGGGTGTTCTCAAGTTACCACGCATCCCTGATGTCGAAAATGCGAAAAGATGGGATATAAGAAGTTTAGACAATCAATTAAGATTATTTAATCTAAGGGAACAAGGTTTAATCAAAGAAGTAATTATCATTCAAATTGTTCTTTAATAATAATCGTTTATTATTAATATCCGATGCATTGCCTGATGGTCAATGCTAATTAACCGACCGGTTCTATAAGGAACTCCAATTTATTAATCACTTTTGTTGAAATAATGCTAATTGGCTAAAGGCGTCGGATAATTAGTTCTGCTTTGCTCCGGATAATAATAGTAACCTTATTTACGCATATAAAATCAACAACACATTAATATATATATATATATATTTATAATCTAAAGTTAGGTACCAGTATGGCCACCAATACTAGTAAGGGATCATCCATTTTCGAAGTTTGGATGTTACAAGAATCAGATACAGTCCAGGCATTAGCTAAAGCACATGGCCATAGGATAATATTAGAGCAAATTGTTCATACACTTCAAAAACTTAAAGGTGGTTCCCAGTAAGTGATTTTCTTATCTGTTATTTGTTTAACATTAATTTGTCATATATAATTATATATATTAAATATAATCATATTTTCTATTAAAAAATTTAGCTGGATAATTCACAATATAGGCCGTCTTTATGCCCTTAACATAATTGACTCAGATCTTACATGGTACATCACCAACAATCTAATTTCAGTTGAATCTGCGTCAATGGTACAACCATTGATTCGAGAATTAGTTGCAGAATTGGCGCCTTTAAGCATGAAAATTATTGATACACTGGGAGTTGATCCACGCGTTTTGTATGCACCAATTGCTAGCCAATGGGCTAAATTTAATGAGGTTGATAATCGCGGTAATTATTATTATTATTATTTATCAAAATTTTGTATGGACCCACATAAAAAATTATGAATATTAATGAAAACTGGTTTATTTGCTAGGCGAAATATTAAGAGACTTTAGAATTGGATTGAGCTCAAAATTATAAAAAATGAAAGTTTGGGAGCAAATTATACAGAATTACATAATACTGTACATATATAGTATTATTAAATATTAACATAATATAAATATAATTTTAAGAATATATTTAATATCAGATATATATAAGCAAACTTTATTTAAACAAACATATTAAAAGCAATTATTAAATATATATCATTAGTTTATTAAATAATAAAACTATATATATATATGTACTGTATATGCAGAATAAATGTATTTCAAATATATACTTAAGATTTATTTTTGCAACAAAAAAAATTTACTTTTTTTTGCTTTAATTACCTATGGCTGTTGTATGCGATTAAATGTATAAATACTCGACATTGCTTTATATATATTGTGCCCTGGAGAACAATTAGCACTAGGTTTTTTTTTTTTATATTCACGTCTATTTACATTACGTGCTTATTTCTTCTCCTTTTCTTAAGATTGGAGACCTTTTTTTATAGCAACAAATTGTATATAACTTAACTGGACAGACTAAATTGTATAGAACTGGGCGCAGGTCTATGCTGATTTAGCATTGCGATTAGGGACCTCAGTTTCATGCGATGCGATGCGATGCGCATAATTGGCCAATTTTTGGCATAGCATATGCGAAGCATAATTTGACAAAAATCGCATAATTATAATTGGCGCTGTTGATTGGTCGAATTTTAAATCATTCGATTGTC